AGTGTTATTCCAACCGAAACCCCCAGCCCCAAAACTCACACAGAGACTCCACGAGGCGTGGCGCAGCATCACCTGGGCTGGGCGGGAAGTGCACACCACAGAGTACAAACACACCCTACACACACTACAAAAAAACAACTTTAGTTCCGCTCCCATGGCCGTCTGTTTTTGCGCGAAGCATTGCTCTGTTAGTTTGCTCACTTAGTGGGCTCTGGTAGGAGCAAAGCATACTCCAGCTGGGTGAGACATCTTTCCTGGTCATCGTCGTCGTACGTGTAGCAGTGGGCCGCGATCTTCTTTCATCAACCAAAAGGCCGATGTAATGGCTGACGATTTATAGGATACAGGGATCTTGCCTACACGAGATTTACCGATAGAATGGCGTGCTCCAAGACGTGGGGCAGGATGGGGGGCACGATGTGGTTCAAAACCCAAGGCGTCAGGCTCTTGAACGTCAAGGGCCAGTCCTTGATAGTGCTGGCTTGAAAGCCTGGTCCGACAAACACCTTAGAAACTCCTTGACGGTCCCCCGGTCCCATTTGTGCAAAGGACTGTTCGGATTGTTCACCTCCTCCTCGGTCCAGGAAGTGAACTCTCCGTCCGCGTTCTGTTGAGGACCAAAGTTGCGAATGTACTCGAAGCCCTTGCGAATATCATCATGTCTCCTTCGGAACCTTGTGGGACGACCCCGCCGGAATCAGTTTGAAGTAGCGTACCTCGAAGCCACCAAGACCCTCGAGCATGTACGGGAGTCCGCGTGAGCCCTCGCGAAAACGCTTCTAGAAGATCAACTTCACATGCCCTGCCACTGCACATGTTGAGGATGGTTTGGTGTTTCGCCCTGGTATTTTCCTAAAAGCTGATGTACTTGACGATGTGGTAGACATCAGAACCTTGCGGAAGGGTGAAGAGCTGCACGTTGTATGGTGTCTGGTTGTTGCCCTTCATGCGGACGACTTCTGGCAGGTCTGCGTAGTTCTGTTGGAGCATGAGGGTTTCGATCTGTTTGAAGTCGAACTCACCCTTTGTGACCCATGATGATGTCAAAGAAAGGATTTTCGTTTTTAAGGTATCACTGATGTCATCTTTGGCCGGAAAATCTGCGACTCGTACGACTCCTGGGGGCTTGTAACAACGATAGTGATAGGCCTCTCGAGATGCAGTAGTTTCAGGGTAACCACACCGTCCAAGTTAGCAGGGTCCATAGACTGGGCCAGAGAGACCGTGTTACGAGGAGGCACGCTGGCCATGAGAGCATTGATGCGACGAGGCTACGAAAAGATATCGTCTGCTGAAGCTTGATCTGACTGGAGCTGAAACATGAATGGGCACACATGTTTGCAGAGCGCCGCCGGAGAATGAACGGAACTGGTGTCTACGAAAGTGGCTCGTCATATCAAAATTAGCATATCTCTCGAGGCAGTCCCCAAAAAAACAGAAATACCAAAACCCATATGCCACGAAATGACCACATTTCTAGAGACAGTCCGAAAAAAACCAAAAAACAAAAAATCCGGAACCTCTCCGAAATCGGAAATGAGCTTACTTCCCGAGACAGTCCCGAAAATACCAAAGCCCATAAGCCAGAAATGAGCATAGTCTTCGAGACAGTCCCAAAAAAAACACAAATACCAAAACCCATATGCCATGAAATGAACATATTCTTCGAGACAGTCCCAAAAAATCAAAAAAACAAAGATTCAGAGCATTCCAAATGCCAGTTCTCGAAACAGCTCCAACGGCGCGGAAACTTTGGTTTGGTTGGCTTTTGGGGGACTGTTTCGAGAAATATGCTCATTTCGTGGCCTATGAGTTGTGGTATTTTTGTTTTTTTGAGACTGTCCCGAGACATATGCTCATTTCCGATGTCGGAGAGGTTCCGGAATCTTAATTCTTTCGTTTTTTTTTTCTGGTGCTGTCTCGAGAAATATGCTCATTTCGTGGCCTATGGGTTTTGGTATTTTTGCTCTTTTGGGACTGTCTCGAAGACTATGCTCATCTCGTGGCCTATGGGCTTTGTTTGTTGGCTTTTTGGGGCTGTCTCGAAGAATGTGATCTTGTGATGGCCTTTGGCTTCTTGTCATTCGCATACACAGGCATGTTAAATTTCACGTACAGTTGCATCTGCATGTACATGTACACATGCACGACGAGACGAGCATGACCAACTCACTGGACATAAGTACTAAACAAAAGGACACAAACCAAAGGAAGCAAAGGAAGCATGGACGGGCTTCACGTGCTCGGCAGTGGAGGAGCGTACCTGCAGCAAGGGTTGAGGGCGTGGATTCTGAGGGGGGGGTGGGGGGGTGGTGAGGGGTGTACCATATATATATATATATATGTGCGTGTACACATGAACGTGTATGCGTGTGTGTATATATATATATATACACACATATCTTTGCTGATTTATGAATGATATACAGATATTTAGACATAGCAATATGCTCTGCACGACTACTCTCATGCTCTCGTTTTCTGAATTGAGCTGTGGCAAAAGTAGCTCGACATCTCTTCAACGTATCCCATGAACTGCTAAACCCTGAGCATGGATTGTATGACAACATGTGATGATGCGATGTGGCACATCGGCTGACTTCTGGCATGTTTTGCAAGCCTGGAGGGACAGGAAGTCAACAAACAGTAATATGACGCTAAAACCCTAGAAAACCCCATACGTGTATACATAATACGCAGAAGGAGTACGAGCACATTGCGCGAAGAGCCATGAGCCTATGGAACTCTGAAGGCCTGAACCCTACCAAGCTCACCCGCTAACCGTATAAACTTCAAACCCCAAATCTTGAACCTAAACCCTCAACCCTGAGCCCCTAACCCTAAACTCTGAGCCCCTAACCCTAAACCCTGAGCCCCTAACCCTAAACCCTCAACCCTGTATCCCTAAACCCTGAGCCTTACCCCAGAAGCTCTCAAGCCCTGAACCACAGGACCCTGAACCCCAAGCACCCCATTAGCCGAAGAACCCTAAAAACCTAAGAGCCCAACCGCCCAAGGACCCTAAACCCTAAACCCTAAACCCTAAAGCCCAAGGACCCTAAACCCTAAACCCTAAAGCCCAAGGACCCTAAACCCTAAACCCTAAACCCTAAACCTAAACCGCTGTGTTTAAGCCGGGTCCGACCCCTCTCGGCGATGGAAGTGCTTCGAGGCTTTCAGAAACCTCGGCAGGAATGGAGATTCCAATTTGGGCTTAGGGTTTTCGGGTGGAGGGGTTTCGGTTTTTGGGTTCAGGGTTGAGGGGTTTAGGTTTTAGGGTTTAGGGGTTTCGGGTTCGGGGTTTAGGGTTTAGGCTTTAGGCGACGGGTTTAGAGTCCAGAGTCTAGGGTCTTATGGAGTTAGATAGAGTTTTACACTACATATTGTCTCGGGCCGGCTTTCATCTTAGGTAGGTTGGGTCGCTCCAGATTCTGCCCCAGTCATCCCGCTTCGCAGGGAAAGACCTCGTGATTTGATCATGACCAGCCCTTATGTGAAATCCCAAGATCGTCTCTGCTTCCGGAGATGCTTTGAAACCTTTGAAACTCTCCTTCTACGCATCCAGGTTTTATACCACCTATCCACTCCCCAAAGCCCATTATTTGCCTCAATCCTGGACCCCGCCCACGGCCGGGGGGGGGGGGGGGGGGAGCGGCAAAATCAGGTCATAACTACAGCCTTATCTACATCCCTACTCAGCACCCCCTTTTAGTAAGTGCCCTGCGACTCCAAGTAGGGCTCGCCAGCCACCCTGAGCCTTGAACTCTCCTCCGTAACAGTTTTCAAGACCCAAAAACTCCCGAAACCCCGAACCCTAAACCCTA